AGTTGATCGCATGTCATCTATTTTATTTTGTTTCTATGTATTGTTGCTCTCTAGTTGCAGAGATCCCCGTACCCGGGCAACGTCTGCAGTTGTCGCTCGAGAGACCTGCGCTAGTTTGGCATTAATTTTGCATATGAATACGGCGTGGACAATTGGATTTGTTGCACTGCTGTGCACTATGTAGTTGTAGCTGCTGCAGTTGGTAGCATTTAAAGTGGCATGTTTATTGCATGCTCTTTCTCTCTCTCTCTCTCTCTCTCTCTCTCTATGACCTCTGTCATTCTCTCTCTCTCTCCCTCACTCGCTGTCTCTGTCGCTTGCAAATGAAAAAGTTTTAAGGGTCGTCGTATTGGGGCATCAATTTTCACATTAATTTCGTTTGTAGCTTCGGACATGCTCAATTAGCTAACGCTGTCGGCTCATTAGCAACACGAGCCGTGCCCCCGGGGGCACAGTACAGCAATTCGAGCTGGTCCAAACACACGTACACACACACACACACACACACAGACGCGCACAGGTGAAGGGTTGTAAGAGCATTACACAGCTTGCAAAATGCCAGCAAGTCCCCAACTCGAACAACTACCAAAAAAACGGTTTCAATTTGCATGTCGTCAGCGCAGCATGCTATTTCCGCCTTTGGCTACGTTCAAAGCGCTGTGTTGCGACCGAGGATCGTCTTTCAATATCTTATACTAACTATGGCACAATCAAGGCAGACATTGCAAAAGTATGATTGAAGCATAGTCAAAGTCGCATAATATGAAAATGAAACTATTAGCCATTCCACTGAAAGATACACTGAACAAGCTGTCCACACATTTAAACATAATTTTACGCACACAAATACCCAGATATACCAAGAGAACAAGATTTCGATATAAATTTTTTAAAAATTGCAAGTTATAAAATTTGCAAACACAAACTTAATTTAAGCGAGCTATACCAGAAGCTTTGCTCTTCCCATTTTAAAGAATTCAGATAATAATGACACAACAGCAAAACACAATAAATACCATAACTTAGATAATGTTATCATCTTTATTGATTCAATCGGCCTAATAATGTCCGCCGTGTCCATGGCCTCCATGGTGCTGATCGAAACCGTGACCATGTCCACCGAAGCCCTGCTGGCCATGTCCACCTTGGTGTCCACCGAATCCACCGTGTCCGAAACCATCATGGCCATGTCCACCGAATCCTTGCTGGCCATGTCCACCAAATCCTTGCTGGCCGTGTCCACCGAATCCTTGCTGACCATGTCCACCGAATCCTTGCTGGCCGTGTCCATTTTGGTGTCCACCAAATCCACCCGAGCCGAAACCTTGCTGACCATAACCACCGTTACCGTATTGGGCCAAAACAGCGACGATCAGGGCGAAAAACACGATCTTTAAAAGTAAATAATCCTATGCTATAAGATCTTGAGGCAACTTAAGGATCTTCAAGCGAACTTACGAAGAATTTCATTTTGATTTTTTTATTTAGCTGCAGCACTTTCAAATAAGTATTAACTGTACAGCATCAATTGGGGGCCCTTTTATACCCAGTAATCCAGAGAGAAAAAGAGAGATTTACGTGGCATCAAAACAAACAGCGGAAAAAAACAAATTTAATTCTCAAATGTCTGAGCCTACGCAAAATGTCTTATCATTTACTTGATTACATATGAAATATGCTTTATTTTGGCACACACTTGAGAGGGTATTATATATGAATGATTCCATTTGTAATGTGCTTTGTCTGAAACCTGGCACAGATTCAACTATAAGACACAAAAGTTGACAAACTTATTTAAAGTACAGTTAATACTCGTATTATGAACGGGTTTTGTAAACAGCAATTGCAGAGTTCAGATTTCTCATTCTCTAGGAAAATCAATTGCTAAAAATTGTTATTTTTGATTATTTAATATTGGCAATACTTTTATAAAAGCATATTTTAGTTCGACTCACAGTTCTTTCCCATTATTTATTTGGTCTTGACGCTTATCTGTCTAAAGACGACACTCAAAATCTTTGGACTTTTTGTAGAAAATAAATGGGAAGTGCCCAATTTGATTCTGTGAATCAATTTAGTGTAAATATGTTTTTTTTAAATTATAAATATATTATTTTTTTCAATTTCGGTTTAACCTTATACTTGAACTCGAACTGAGTGAATTGTAATATGCTTGCGGGAAGTACAATTAGTACAAAAAACATTTATAATGAGTAAACTATAAGAGTGTTCTAGTCGGGTGTGCTAGACGGAGAGATACCTTAATCCCAGAGCCGAGCTGCCATCTATTTCCTTGGAGCTACACTATAGGAAATGAGATCTTAAGCTCCTGGACATAAATGTGGCCTTCAAATGAGTGTTAATAGAATTTTGCGTAGAGCGGGAGATGTATTTGGATTTGGTGTCTCTAGCTCTCATATGCTTTGATATGTGTTCAAAACTAGTCGAATTTCAATATCTATTTTATTGGGTTTGAAGGAAACTATTTGAAAGATCTTGAGTGCGCGTGTAGGGCTTTAATAATAAATTTGAAAAACTCCTGAAAGCAGGACAAATGACAAACATGCATAGTTCAAGCAATGATTTTCATGTGTCAAAAGTTAAGCCTAAAACTATGCAACACTTGGCAAATCGTCCGCAAATCGACAAATTAAATTTGAAATATTTTGCTGTTTGCATTTGTCATATCGCTGGGGCTTCATTAGGCAGGCTCAAAATAAATGAACACAGTTGCCAGGCAAGCACAAAATTTTCAAATGATGTACAACACGTTACCTGAGCTGCAGGTGTGTGGGCGAATGTGTGTGTGTGTGTGTGTGTGTGTGTAAGTTGCCAACGCTGCAGCAGCTCATTGCCGTGTGTTATTGTTGTTGCTGTTGTTGTTGCTGCTGCATTTAAGTAAAATGAATTGCCTGCAATTTATTTTTGTTGCTTATCATATAAATTGCACTCGCCTGCAAGTCATTATTTGGCACATTTGCGCTCAATGGCTGCACATTGCTCGCCTCGCCCACATCCGAATTGTGGCAAGTGGGCGTGGCAGCATGTGTGCGTGTGCGTGTGTGTGTGTGCGCGCGTGACGAACCGGAAGCCCACAGATATGCCGGCAAGACAATAGCAGCAACAACAACAATTTGGCCAAGAGATGCTGCCAGGTGGCCTTTGCACTTGGCTGCATTTTTAAGGCAATGCGCTGGAAGGCAGCAAAAGCGTCGTAGGGCAAAGGGCAAAGGTTGGAAAATGGCCATTGGGTATGTGCCCGAAACTGCCACTTAAGCAGTTGCTGCTCTTTTATTTACCACTTGCAATGGCCGCACAAATAAATTTCCGGCTCGAGACTCGAACTTTTGGAAGCGACACACAAAAAAAAAAAGCAAGAAAAAATATTTGCTTTATTTAGTTTAGGGTGAAGAGCTTGTTTTTAAAAAAAAAAAGCTTGTGATTGAAGCAATGCCCCTAGCGATACAATAGCACAGCTAACCAATTCTAGTTCAAGGTACTTAAGAGCCAATAGCTTTGCTTGGGAAGTCTGCCCAGTGACTAGTTTTATGATAGGGAATCGGTATGCATTCGAAACTCTAGGCCTAAGACTTTGTATTTGTTTCCTTTTTTCTGCGTAAAGAGAAATAGCACTATCTGAACAATTATAGTGCAATTAACGTTTGAACAAGTTAACATTGGGTTGTCATGTTAATATATATGTTAAATTAAAGTTAATATCAATTATAGCTCCATAGTTTCATAGTTTCAATATTGTCACTCACAAATATTCTAAACAACTCTGAGGATTGTTTTTACAACTTGCAGCTAGCTTACTAGCAACAGTTCTGTTTTTGTTAGCAATTGGTGTAGGAAAACTGAAAATTAGCTACACTTTCTTCTGTAAACATATCCCTTCAAATGCTGTAGGAGTAACTGCAATACCTAACATTTACCCCAACAAACAAGAGCCCCTAAAATATCTAAGCCTCATTTACATATATAGTTTGAGTAGAGGGTGCATTTCTCGCCCCCTTGACTATCTCTCAGCCGGCAAGTAGGTGGCTGACTGGGAAGCTCTCCCAATGGAATGCAAAGAAAAGGTAACAAACCGACTGGCAAAGTGTGCAGAAAATATTTTACAAATGCAATTGCAATTAAGTTGTCTGATTATTGGGTCAGATAGCTGTGACATTTAAGAATTGCGCAGTAAGCCAAACAAAATAAAAATAAGAAATAAAAGCGACGGGAAAATCGGAGAACAGAGCAATGATTGCATACAACACGACACACATGACCCATTTATGTGCGTCCTATCAGCTGGAAATTGACCTTGCCCAATAAACAATATTTATAAACAATTTCGAAAGATGCGGACTTTAAGTAGTCGGCTATTGGGGAATGAACAGCACTCTACAGTGAATTCAATTGAGCTGCCATTTAAGGCATTTTATCAGCTATATTACTTGACTCAAATGAAGGCTGCACAATAATTAAAGCAGTTTTTGTCTCTCTTAAAAAAAGTTGAAGATAAATCTGGAAAAGGTTGAGCGCACTTTTCGCTTTTGTTTGATATGTATATGTATATTTACAAATTTTAATTATATACTTTATTTTTCAGAATTGAGTTTCTTATTATAATAAAAAAAAAAAATTAAGAAAATATTTATTCAAATTTGTTCAAAGCCTATTTAGAAGTATCATTTGAACTATTTAGATAAGATTTATTTTGATTTGAACTGAAACAAATTATATATGCATATTGCCTAAAAATATATCTAAATATTAATTTTCTAGTCACTTGTGGTATATAAAGGGAAATCAATTTTGGCATATATTCTTTGTTATATTACAATTTTTTTCAACCAAAGAAATAAAATATTATTAAAAAAAACTTATCTAAATTCTACAATTTGTATAAACTTTTTCTGTAGAGAATTATGTTGTTATAATTATTTGTTTCTTTAAAATTGCTAAACATTCTCATTTGCCGATAAGCTTCAAGTTAGTGGGGTGCATATAAAAGTAAGCAGACTGCTCTTGAAATTTTCAGAACATCCAAGAAGTTCGTCAGTCCTAATGAATTATAAATACTGTGTAAGTTTATAAAAAAAGAAAAAATAACAAAAAAATTATCACTCTCACCAACTCACTCTCTACCACTTGCCCCCGCAGCTGCTGTTGTTATCACTGCTGCTGGCCAGCACAAGCGCTAGCCCGCCCCGGGACACGCCCACACGTCCCACGCTGCCCCCCTGCACGCCCTGGTGTGCCGGCCAACCGCCACCGCCGCCCGGCGCCGTCAACTAAGCTGATGGAGGATGCTATAATCTGCTTCTGCTGTTGCGGCTGCTGCTCTCAGGCAAACAAACATGTGTTAGTAGTCGGTTACTTTTCGTAATTATTTCGGGCAATTTGCTAAAACAATTAAACTCCCATAAAGTATACAAATAAGTTTCTTACTGGTAATCTTCTACTGCACATGTGGCTGGGAATCTTTCGGTAATTAGTATCGCGTTTTATGTCCAACTTAGAATATATGTTTACCCAAAAAGCGCGAAATTTCATTGCCTGCAAATTGAAATAAAGCTTTCAATTTAGAGTTCCTTCTGGGGTCAGAAAATAACTGGCAAATCTTAAGCAAAGCGGGCAGAACCTGCATGTGTATTGTGTGCATGTCTCACTGTAGACCATTTATTGTGCGATGTCATAATCAACATAATATATATATATATATACATGCTTAAATTGAAATTCCACTTGGCCGACATACCTGCACACCGTATCTATGTCATAAGAAGAACACAGAATGTAAACCAGCAAAAAGCAATAGACAGGCAATGCAATAAAGTTGTCGCGAGAATAACAGCAAAATTTACACCCATTTCAATTTAAATAGACTGCTTTAAAACACACACACAAACTCGAAGCAAACAAAGTTTAGGAATATGATCATGCACAACAACATCAAGGTCTTCTTTAAGCGCAACTGAAAACAATGAGAGAATGCGTGCTCAACAAAGATTGTGTGCGAGCAGGACAGCAGCTGAAGCAACGCATTCAACAGCAACAAAGGCTGTAATCGAGCAGGAAAAACATCTGCAAGAGTACCATAAAAATACAGGTTACACGCAGTTTTTCTATGCAGTGCACTATTAATGTAAAAATAAATATGCTTTTCTTTGAGCAGTATTGAATTAGTTTTTATTAATACCGCTTTTGAGCGCTGCATATTTGTGCCAAAACTAGTAGCGATGATGATGTTGATGATGGTGATGTGGATTGTGATGCGGACTGTGATGTTGATTATGGTAGCCACCGCGATTGCCGCCATGATTGCCGCCACGATTGCCGCCACGCCCATATCCGCCGCCGTACTGCGGCACTGCCAAGACCGCAGCAAATAGCGCAAATAAAATGATCTGTCCGCGAAATTCAAAAGTAAATACCAATAGTATGTTTAGACTTTTTTATATGCAGCACACTCACCAGCAACTTCATAGCGACTGCTCTTTCAACTCTGAACTCAACTGTGCTGCGTACAACGCTTTTAAAGTCAAAAATCGCAACTGCTGACAGTACGTTGGCATAAAATCACAAACATAAATTATACCTGAAGACATAATGTCCATAAAACCCAAAAGGAAAATGCACTTAACAACATTTGTGTGGGTCGGCTTATCGGCAGCATATGCAGCACTCAGACAATATTAGAATTCCGTAATGCATATTTCGACCTGAGTTCTAGGAAAATGGCAGATTGCATGTCATAAAAACGGATTGGCTTGGCCAGCGATAGGCTCCTCTGACCTTTCACATTTTACATATGCGCATATGTTTATGTTTGGGTAGATTGAAGTTGACATTTGGCGGCATTTCTTGGTATTTGATAGACATTTCATGATTTTCATGATTCGATCGAGTAGACTTTTGCTGCTAACCTGGAATCAATGGGATGTCTTCGGCCATCTGCCTGTTACCCATTTCAAGTGGATTCATGCACAACAACAAAACACACCAAATGACAAGTTAGGTTTGAGTTATCAGGCTAAGCTTTATCTTTATTGATTAAAACGTCCTAGTAACGTCTGCCATGTCCGTCGTGTCCACCATGTTGCTGGCCGAAACCTTGCTGGCCTTGTCCGCCCTGGCCGAAACCTTGCTGGCCATGTCCGCCCTGGCCGAAACCTTGCTGGCCATGTCCGCCCTGGCCGAAACCTTGCTGGCCATGTCCGCCGCCCTGGCCAAAACCTTGCTGGCCATGTCCGCCGCCCTGGCCAAAACCTTGCTGGCCATGTCCGCCCTGGCCGTGTCCTTGTTGACCATAACCAGCCGCGAACACAGCGACGATCAGGGCGAAGAATACGATCTTTAAAAGTAAACAATACTAGGATATAAGTCGTTGAGCTTAATTTAAGGATCTTCAAGCGAACTTACGAAGAATTTCATTTTGATTTGTTGATTTAGCTGCAGCACTTTCAAATAAGTTCTAACTGTGCAGCATCAAATGCGGGGCCTTTTTATACCCAGCAATCGAGAGAGAGAGAGAGAGATTAACGTAGAAACGATTTTAAAATCAAAACAAAAAGCGGAAAAAAACAAATTTAGTTCTAACTTGCTAGAGTATACGAAAATGTCTTAGCATTTACTAGATTACATACACAATATGTTAGTATATGTTTTGGTAAAATTTCGTTAGGGTATTATAAAATAAACTGCCTTGGTCGTGATATCGATTCTGATACAACCTAACACAGAGTAAATTGTTTAAAAATTTGCATCAGAAAGCATTTCGGGCACCATAAAATATATATATTCTTGTTCAGGAGTACGAGCTGTCCGTCTCTATAAAGGCGTGCAGCACGAACTTTACAAAATTTAAATGCATATTCCCCATGCTACACTCTGCAATCATATGTTTGTAACATTGTTGTTCTAGACACTTTAAAATTATTTAAGATTGATCAAGCATTAAGTATTCAATTAAAAATATATATTTATTTTTTCAGAAGCGTATTAAGTATTCGACTTGACTTTAGTTTCTTCTCATTATTTACTTGGTCTGGTGCTTATCAGTCCACAGGCGCATTTCGAAATTTATGGATGTGTCGTAGGCAACAATTGGGAAGCGACCAATTTGATTGTATGAATAAACAAAAATGCAGACGTTAAAAAATAAATAAAACTTATTTGAATATACAGTTAACCTTCAACTTGAACTCGAACTGAGTGAATAATCAAACGTTTGCTGGGAGTACAACTAATATAATAAACAAATATAATAGGTTAACTATAAAAACAAACCTAACAAGAAATATTTGAGGAACAAATTCATAATACACATAAATGGCACATCCGTGTTTGAGATAACTTAGATTGCTACAATTTACTGCTTTTTTGATTATGTCATATTCGAGCTTAAAATACAATGTCAGTTGTAGAAAAAAATTTTGTAATAACAAGAACTATAATAAACATTTTTTTTATGCCTTTTAAGAAAATATAAAATATTGTCACAATTCAGATTTGTTACGATTTATTCATTTATTGTCCTGCTTGACAAGTTTTACTGCCAAAAGAAATGAATATTTTAATATTTTAAAGATTTGTTTTAAAGACAACAATGTCGTCTGCGTACAGCATAAAACATAACATAAACATAAAACATCGACGGAACCGCATAAAAGTATACATTACTTTTATAAAATATTAGGATGGCATTGTCGCCTTCTAAAAATCAAAAGCTGCCCAAGAGTATGCAAAGTTAAATATATTATTTGAGAAATATTTTTGTTTGTTCATTAATCAAAACTGCCTGAAAATATACAGTGCAATTAGCTTAGTTTCGTGATATATACAGATATCAGATGTATAAATGTACACATACGAGAAACAGTATTCGTAATTTATCGAAATCCTCTATATTTTCCTCTACACGCATTCTCTTTTAGCGAGCGCAACTAAATAATTCGTGCCTGCACTGCAACTGGAGACATTCGTAAGCTGTTTAGATTGATGGGGCAGCTTATGGAATTGCTAGATTTTGACTATTGAAATCCATGGCCATAATTGCTGGTGGTAAATAGTGAGCATAATGAGCACCGAGCAGTCGCAGGGAATCAGAGGAAAGAGCTTTCAAATAACTTTACCGCAGCTGATGCGTTTGCATAAATCCTTTGCCGGCGTTGAAGGGCTTGGAATGAGCCCCAACTCTGGCTGCGTAGCTCAGCGAGCTAATTAAAAGCGTTGCCACTTAAATTGTAAGAAAATGTTGCACAGCTTTGTAATGGATTTAGCATTCGCAGCAGTACATCCGCATTCATATCCGCATCCGCTACAGCGAATCGCGTTTTTAATGTTAACGATTTGTTTTCTTGTCGTGTCGTGATTTGCTTTAGGGATTTAGATGGAATGCATTAAATATTGAAATTAATGGATTTTCAGAGCGTACAATTTCATTCAGTTGGAGTTGCCGAAAATGTGCTTTAAGTGTGCTGAAATAACTACTAATACTTTGCTTGAACTACTAAAGAGTAGAAAGATTTGTTAAATAGTCTTTTTTCTTGCTTCATTTTATGTACTTCCATTCAGGCTGTTCACTTTATATGAAACTAGTCTTTTGTTCAGCGGAATTTTTCAAGAATTTCTTGTTTCTTTGGGGTTTGCAAACGTTTACAAAGTGTACAGAACATTTTTAAACATAACTTATTTACAAGAGCTTTTCATAGGGATATGCTCCGCTGGCAGATACCTTGCACAGGCTTCTTTCTCCTACTATATATATCTCTATATAAATATATTTATATACCTTTTATATAGATTTAACACACACAAGCTAATGCATCGCAATTTGTAGTAGCTCCTGTCACAAAAATTTACACAACTCTTCCATACCCTTGTCAGCCACTTGACGATTATAGGGTATACAAAGAGCTCTAGCTCTTCTATTTTCAATCAAGAGTAGCAGCATATTCAAAGGACTCGCATAACGTGCGTGTCAGCGATTTATGTCTAATATTATATCTGTTGCATGTTGTTGCTTGTTTGTTGCATGTTGTTGTTGTTACCTTTTGCTTTGCCCCTTTGTTGCAATTTCGCTTTAGACAGCAACATGCATAACATAAATTTGCCTTTAAATGCATGGAATAAAGCGAAAATTCTATGCATTTTATATACCGCCAGCGCCAGTGGCTATGCAGCCACATCTATCTATATACATCTATTCATATATAAGTAAGAGTATATATCTGTGTACAGGGTATATATTCATATGATATGCTCGTATGCAGATCTACTTTGGCATTGGGCGCCAAATGCATTCAGGCATCTTTGAACATGACCCGCACCCTCCGCCCACTCGCATCTTGTTACATCATGCTCGTCGCTGGCATTGCCACGCGCACACCCTCAGTCCGCTGAATGCTTTGCTCCTTAATCCAAATGTGCACTCAGCACGCGTTTATTTGATGCGTGGTAGAAAATGGAGAAAAAGAGTTCAACATGTAAATAAGCTCGCAACTTGGTATAGGGACGGGTTTTTCGCAGCGTGTTTGGCTGCAGCCGCATGCATAAAACATGCCACATGTCACATGCCCCTCGTCCGCCCAAAGAGTTGGCTAAAATTTGTCAGTCGCCCGGCGAAGGTGCGTGCCGTACACACAAACTGGCCAAGGGCGGGACCCAAGGATCCAAGTATCCAAGGACCTAAGGACCCAACTGCTATGCCATTTCCGTCTCATTTTCAATAAAGCTAGCAAAACAATTTTAATAAACAAAAGAAATAATTTTCAATGCACTTTGTTGCAACTGCAACAACGAGACACATGCGCCCACATTTTTGACAGAGACAGAAGGACACACAGAGACACAGGCAGCGACGCAGACAGACGGAGAGGCGGCAGAGGGAACAGAGGACACATGAAGTGGCCAACTTAGAGTAAGCAATACTAAAATTGGCCCTCCAACAACGTTTCACATAGTTGGCAGCAGAAGTTACGTGCAACAGCAACAACTCAGCCCAAGTAGAACTTTTCGTGGCAGTCAAACCAACGCAACCGATTCTAAAAAAAAAAAAAATACAATAAAAAATAGCCCACGCTCAAATAAAATAAAACTATATGAATCAAAAGAAAAATAGACGACCTTTTGCCTACACTAAGAACAAGTATTAAATAATATTATTAATAGTAATATATAATTGTTAATATTTCTATAAATCTAACAACTGAACTGTATATTATATGTTATCTGAAATATATTTAAAAATGTAGCCCAAGCCTTAATTACTAATGCTAGCTTAATTTTGCTTTGTATTAAAGTTTTGTACTTTAAGATAAGTTCTTAATAATAGTATAAATTATTGTGGACGATCTTATTTTTACAATCTCGTACTCTCTCTCTATCTCGTCGCCTCAGTGGTTCTCTTTTGGCTCTTTTGTGGCATCTTCCTTTCTATCGCCCTTATCTCGTTTATATTTATTTTATTATCTTTCTCTCATTATCTTTCTTTTACTAGTTTAATTTAATTAAATATTTATTAAATTAAAGTGCTTGTTTAAGATATATTTCCAGCCAATCCATAGTTAATATGCTTTTA